GCCCTCGCCACTCTCCCATGCAAGGCCTTTTTGGCCCAAATGAAGCAGCTTCCCACTGTTCTCGGAGAATGGTTTTGCGGCGACCCCCCCTGGGTGGTGAACTCAAGGGTAGAGACCCTCTTGCTGGCCACTCACTCTCCGACTTTTGAGGTAGGCGCTCAATACCTGCTCCTTAGAGGACAGGTGAGCGAACGGATGACTGATATTTAACGATGACTGATATTTACGGGGTTTTCAGAGAGGCACTGCACACCACGCAAGGAAGGGACTCAAGAGGCTGGAGGGGCGCATCTGGGGGTGGAGCTGAGCACCCCAGGGTAGGAGGGGTGACCATCTCAGCATCTCACCCATGTCCTGCAGGTCCAGGTCATGTCCTAGAGCGGCTGCCCTCATCCTGGCCGTAGCTGCTCGGAGCTGCAGCCGCCTCCTGCGGGTCGGGAGGTCGGGCCCAGAGACGTCCACCTCCAGCTCTGGATTGTTGACCTGCTCTGCTAGGGAGCTCCCGACCACGGGAGGCAGGTACCTGCGAGCAGTGAGGGCCTGAGGCTCCCATGGGGCCCTCAGGGGTCCATTCACTGCCTGTCCACCCACCAAGGCCACTCGGCTCTCACCGGCCCCGCCCTGCTCCAGTCCAGCAGGGTGTCGCGTCCTGAGAGATGTCCGCTGCCATGCGTGGGTCCCCGCACACTGTCAGGGGCAGCCCAGCCCAGAAACCCCTCACCCGGCCAAGGCGCTCACGGAGTTCCCACACCTGAATATGAAAGAGGGGCGAGCTGGAGGTGATGGCCTGAGTTTCCAAGGCCCAAGTCCACCGGACTAGCGGCCCTCACTCACCAGCCGTGGTAGGTTGGTGCCCGCTGCTGTGGTAGGTCGCTCCTCCTCCACTCCTGCCGATGTCCAGAGCCGGCCTGCTTCCTCCCGGGGAGCTGGGGCTCTGCGGGTGCGGGCTGGTGCAGGGTGGGGCCCCCCACACCCCTGGAACACCTGGGGCACATGGAAGAGATCCCTTTTTGTGGCTGATCTCTGCCCCATCTTCCTCTCATTTGGGCTGACCCCACACATTTTCCTTGCCATCTTGGGGCAAACCCCCCACGTTTTATCTCCTCTCGAATACCCCAGGCTCCCTGAGCACCCCCAAATTCTCCTCAAAATGCTCACAGTCTCCCCTGAAAATACAGTACTGCAGTTTTCCTGACACCCCACATGGTCCCTCCACCCCAGGCTGTGCCCCCACCCTTCCCTCCGACCTGAGCTGCTGATGCCCTTTGCTCCCCCCACCCCCCACCCACAAGGCTGAGCCCCTGCACCGTACCTGGGCTGACACCCCCACACTGTTTTCCTGCAGAAACATCAGAGCCTCAGAGATCTTCACACCAATGGACTCGGCTGCCAACTCAAAGGAAAAGGGCCCCTGGAGTCTCTCGGCCAGGAGAAGGAGGGCATCTTGTAGGAGGTGAACAGGGGAGAGAGAGACATGAGGGGGCAGCCAGACATACAAGGGTCTCTCACCTGGGTTACAGAGGAAGCAGCAAGGTATTGGGTGGAGGGAACCTTAGAAAAAAGCTCCCCTCCTCCCCAGCCCCCTGACAAATCTGGCTTTAGACTCCCTCCTCCAACTCACGGCCATTGCGTTGACCCCAATGCACCGAGACGAGACTCCATAGGACAGGGTAGAACTGTCTCTGTGGGTGTAGGAGTAGAAAGTCTCATTTTGCTCCCACGGACCAGCTAGTGGTTTCGAACTGATGACCAGGTGGTTAGTAGCCCAAAGCATAACCCAGAGCTCCTCCCCACCACAGCCAGCCCTTGCTTTACTCCCTCTCAGGCTTTCCTGATCCCCTCACCCAAGTAGCCCCCCCAGTCAGGTTCCAGTCCCCCGCTGCTGAGACAACCACGGGCCACATTGAGGCAGAAGCCCCGGCAGGGTGGAAGAGAGGGGACCCCCCGGCAAAGAGGACAGCCAGTCAGACGCATGACAGCCCGGCTGCAGCCTTCAGACATCGACACCTGGGAACAGAGAGCATGGTGGTGTCAGCCACAAACATCATAGCTGCCCTCAGGCAAGCTTGATGCTGGGCAAAGAATGAAGTCAAATATACAAATCCTCCCCACCCACTCCCCGCCCTGGCTCCCTCAGGCTCCCAGTTTATGTGGTCAGTTAGACAGGTGCCTCTGGGTGAGTGACCTGGGGGACAGCAGGTTTGACCGGATCGCACAGCTCTGATTACTGAAGTTGGGAGAGGGCGGCTCTAGGAGCCAGATCATAGAGACTGCTTCTTAGAAGATATGGAGCTGGAGAGGCAGTGGGGTGGGGATGGAGGGCAGTTCTGAGCAATGGTTCAGGGTAGGAATGAGCCTATCATGGTCCGGGAGGGGAACTGCAGTGAGGTGGCCTGGCTGGCAGGAGGGAAAAGCTTGTGTAAGAAACAACAGGATGGCTGGGAGGTTAGGGAGAAGACTGCAGAGGAGGGGATGGCCTTGAGGACCAAGCAAAGAATCTGGTCTTCAGGGAAAGGGGTGGACATTGAGGGCCCCCTTGCTGGGGGCGGGGGAGGGGGCGTGCGTGTAGAACCCAAGGGGTCAGTACTCCAAGCATAGACGCCCCTAGAGGCTGGCGTGGGAGGAGGGGTATGTCATCAGAGAGCGCGGGTCAGAGATCATGGATCATGACCCAAGGGTCACTTCACTCTCACCTTCCTTCTTTCCTAAATGACCCTGGGACACCAGGGCCTGGAGGCCTCTCCTGCCAGCTGGTACCTACCTCTTCCTCCTGGGGCCTTTCTGGCTTCTACCTCCCCCTCCCTGGCCCCATCGATATGCAGGACCCCTAACCTTCAGTGCAGTGCTGACGACATCTCTTCCAGTTGCCAGGCCCTGAATAAGGGCACGGGCAGCCACCAGAGCACGGGTTATCTGGAGAAGACAAGGACACAAAACACAGGGGAGTTGTGAGCCAGTTATGACTTAGGGGCTAGGAGACTGCACCAAGGGATGAGCAGACTGGGTGAGGGTTTCAGGGTTAGGGGGTTGGGTGGCAGGTTAGGGAAGTCAGGTGGTATAGGGAGGCCGGTTGGAGAGACTCACAGGAATTATAGTCTAGAAGGTTCAGGAGGAACCAAATTTGGGGAGAGATGGATAAGGACAAACATTGAGCTTGGAGACCTGGGTGGGAGGGCCGGCTCTACCACCACTCTCTGTGAGACCTTAACCTCTGGGATCCTCGATTTTCTCAACAGAAAATCAGGACACCACTGTCTAGCCTGCAGAGTTATGGTGGCAATGATAGGAGATCACATCAGTGAAAACACCTCTCAAACAGTAAACGCCGGAGTAATCTTTGGGTGAGCCAGAAGATGCCAGAACATTGGCAACAGGGCGGGGTGGGGTGGGGGGATTGGCGTCAAGATGCTTGAGGGTCAAAGGGCTGGTGAGTGGAGCAGAGGGTGTGTATGAAAGCAGGGCAGCCAATGTGTGGTGGGAGGCACTCAACGGAAAGCACTAAGGATCACTGGGTAAGTGGTTGGGGGGAGGGTGGGACTGGGCTCAGGATGGGGATCACCTGGTCAGAGGTAGCTGCAGTGCAGACTGCGGGTGGGTCACCAGCTCAGGTGTGACTGAGGCACAAAGTGTGTGTGTGGGGAGGGTCAGAGGCAGCTGAAGCTCAGGCCTTGGGGCCCCTCACCTGCAGGCGGAGGCGGCGGGGCGAGTCCCCGAAGGGCTGCAGAGAGCCATCAGCAGCGGAGGCGAGGCGAGTGAGGCAGAGCAAGTAGTCAGGGGGGAAGCTGTACTGGGGGTGCAGCAGAGGGAATGCTCTCTCCAGGAGCTGTGCCCAGAAATCAGCGAGCGTGTCATCTAACCCACCACTCGCCCCCCCATAGTGGCCCCGCAGTCGAGAGAACAGGCCACTGAAAATGGGCGCGTGCTGGGCATACAGGCGGCCGTAGGAGCGGGAGAAGAGCTGGGCCAGGGAGCGCTCAGATGCGGAGAGCAGCTCCCGGAAAAACTCTGTGGTAAATGCAAAGAAGGGGTGTGAGGTAGGGACAAGGCCAGAGAAGGGGGTGGGAGAGAGAGAAGACAGGTGAATTAGAATCAGAGCAACTCTCAGACCTGGCCAGACTAGGAATGAGGGGGAAGGGCCCTGGAGAGAGACGGGGTGGGGTGGAGTGCCTTAGGGATGGAATACGGAGTGGGATAGGATGCTTGCTGGGGTCATGAGCACAGAAAGGTATGAGGCCAGGTTTGAGGAGCCCAGGTCCTCACCATCAAATTTTCTGTGCCGGGCAGCCAGTGTGTGGACCAGGAAGGACCCGCTTTCTTCCACCAGGCCTCGGAAGGTGTCCTCAGCCTCCCTGGTCAGCCTCTGCTCTGTCTCACTGGAACAGCAGGTGTACTCCTGGGGACAGACCCGGAGGTGCTCACCTGGGCAGAGGAGACACAGAGGAATGGCTGGGAAGTGACATTTGTGAAATGTCTCCTTCTCCCACCTATCTCTGGGAGCTCTCCCCTTCCTTCCCTTCTACCTGTCTGGTCTCTGCTATTGTCTGTACCCTCATCCCTACCTGACCCTATTCCCTCCTCATTGCCCCCTCCCGAACCTCCCAAGTTCATCCCAGTTCACCCTGGGATCATCTATTTAACATTGACCTGAGCGCCCTGGGAGTCATCTCAGGGTTCCCCAGGTAACCCTCTCCAACACCGCATACCCCCAGGCCTCTAGGGACTTACAAGACCGCTTCTAGGGGTATGAAGAATGGGTTTGTAGTGATGGGGTTATGTGAAGAACAAAAAAACGTATTAGCATAGACAGGCCTCATTAAGACAGAGGGGGGAACTCTGGGTCCGGGGTGGGGTTGTTGCAGAATACTAGAAAGGGGCTTTTGGGGGGTGGGGAGGGGGTGGAGTAAAGCTATTATGTGAACGGAAGGGCTGTTGTGATCTTGGTAATGAAGTTACAGGAGGTAGAGAGATCACTATCGGATGAGAAGACTTAACGGTTTTTCTGAAAGGCAAGAGACTTATTGTAAGACGGGGAGGACCCGCCCCTGCCAACACCACCCCCCCACCCGCCCCCAGCCTCCAATTTTCTAGTCTTCTTTCTCCTCACCTGAGATCAGAGCGGGAGGGAGCAAGCTTAAGCTATATCCCCGAGCCCCAAGCACCTGCCGGGTCTCAGCGCAACTCCGCGTGACCTTTGCCTCGCTCCCGGGTCCCGGACCAGGACCAGGACACAGAAGCAGCAGCAGAAGCAGGAGAGGTCGCAGCGCAGACATCGCTGCAGCCGTCCTGGGACGGGAAAGTGCGTCCAAAGAAGGAGAGAAGAGACGCTCGAATTCGAGAACCTGGTTCTCGGCCGCGGGACTGCACCGCGGTGCAGAAAAAGAGCGCGACCCCCTAAAACTGAACACAGTGCACGAAAGACGGACCAGGCGGCATCTGCCGAGACAATGGGAGCGGGGAGCCGGACAGGGGGCGGGGCTTGAGGCGTGGCCTCGCCAATGATGGCAGGGAACGGCCCTCGGGGGCGGGGTCAAGGGAGAAATTAAGCCAATGTAGCGGGGAAGTTGGCAGGGAGGCGGGACAAAGTCGAAGTAAGGAGGTAAGCGAGGTAGGAGGGGTCGTTTTTCTCAGGGGCGTGGCGCTCTGGAGCGAAAGGCGGGGCCAGGGTGGAGACCAACCAGATTGAAGGAGTTCCTAATTGCCTGGGCCGGAATCCAGCCAATGGAGCGCGGAATAGCCGTCCGAAGGGGCGGGACGGGGTGAAGCTGGGGGGGGCGGGGGGGGGCGGAGGGAAAGCAAGGAGGCGGGGCGTAGCCGAGCCCACGTGACCAGCTGCACGCCGCCGAGCTCGTGGCTACACGAGGCTGAGGGAGCGGCGTGAGTGAAAGGTGGGGGGCACCAGCTTCGGGACTCCCAAGCCTCGCGACATTTCCTAGGCTCTGCGGGAGGGGAAAAGTCGTTGGGTTTGCGTCGGCGTATCGGACGCCTCGCGCCTTCCCGCGCTTTTCTGTAGCCGTCCGCCGCTCTCCGAGACGCTGCGGGCGCTGGTAGCGGAGTGGCGCGCCACAGTCACCGGAAAAACCCGAGGTGGTGACCCTTCATCGTGGCATAACCAGACGTCGAAGTCCCGACCTCAGACAGTGAGGCCCCTCTTTCACCCGAGAGACTCCCCGCCCCATATTCCCTGCCCGGTAACTCGCAGCCCGTCCACGCCTCAGGGCCTGGTCACCTGCGTCAGGACCCGAGCCACAGGCCGGAAGGCGGATAGATTCTCCTCAGCAGTTAGAAGGCTCTGCCTCCGCCCTCCACCACCACCCCGCCCCTCCAATAAAGCACCCCAGCATCTTTCCCAGACGGGTAGTTCTAGAGAAACCCGGAACTCCGCAAGCTTTCCTTGGCTCTTAACAGCAGCCCTCTGCCACCCCCCAGTAGTCGAGGACCCCGCAGTAGTCGAGGGCCCCCCATTCACTTCCCTGTGGAATCCGACCGAAAGTGTGGGGGTCTGGTTGAGTTTTGTGTGTAAGCCAAGGGCCCTGACTGCAGGAGTTTGCCCTTCTGAAGTCATTGGTGTGCGATCTGCTTTAAGCCATACCTGCGCCTTTCGCCATCATTGGAGATGGTCAGCTGGTCAAGGGAGGAGGCGGCTGGGGGGAGGGGTGTCTTTAGGACCCTTGGTGGCGCTGTGGGTTTGGCGTTGGGTTGGAACGACCAGATCGGTGGTTCGAACCCATCAGGCACTCTCTGCAGAGAAGTGGCAGTGGGTTTGGTTATTTCGGGAGGGGGATCACTTTAATACCCACGCTGCTTTGGGATTTGGGGATAGTGGTGTTATTCCTATTGCCATCTTGGAGTTCCTGAGCCGAAATGGTTCCAGAAAGTTGGCCGGGCCAGGAAGGGCACATGGCATGGTAGGAGCCCGTACCCCTTTCTTTCCTGTTTTTTTTCCTTCTCTCAGCTGGTTAGCCATGCCAACTCGGCGCCCCTCCGGCTCCTCCTGGAGACCCCACAGCACCGGCTCTCCATGCAGCAGGGCCTTCTCTCCACGAAGAAGGAGCCAGAGGGCCATGTCTGCGTCATCTGGTGTCTCTCTCAATCTGCCTGGTGATGAGACGGCCTGGGCCAAGACTTTAGAGGAGTGAGTGGAGTGTGTGAGAAGTTGTTACACTGCCTGGCTGCCTTTTGAGTCATCGGGGTCACCAGGGGCTTGCCCCTCTACCATTGCCCTGTATCGATAGGATGAGTCAAGTCCAGGCTACTCTGTAAGCACCCAAGTTGCCCTATACTGCTTCCCACCAGGGGTTTTCTCCGGCTCCTTTGCAGTGTTTGGACTGACCCATCTGTTGTGTAGTGGGTTACTACGGGTGGCCTGCAAACCACAAGGTTAGTAGTTTAAAACCACCAGCTGGACTCTGCAGGAGAAAGATGAGGCTTTTTACTCCAGTAAAGAGTTAACACTCCAAAACCCATAGGAGCAGTTCTGTCCATTCTGTAGGGTCACTGTGAGTCAGAATTGAGTCAGTGGCAGTGAGTTTGTTTTTTTTCATCTGTTACACTTGTTGTGAATCCATGCAACGTATCCAAACCTTTCTTTTGAGCATGTGTGTGCTCATCTTGTACCTTCCCTGCCGGGGGGTGGGGGGTGGGAGAGCACTAGGAGAAGGAGTTCTTTTGGTTGTTTTGCCCCATAAAAGATAAGAGCAGAGAAGGAGGAAAAGATCTCTAAAGGTTTATGGAGAAAATTCTGTTACCGTCCCCCTTTCCCCCCACAAACTTTTGGAAGGCCCCTCACATGTATATAGTATTTAGTTGGTAACCAGTGGTTCTCATATTTAGAGATTTTGTAAATGGTTCTGTATATCCTTACCCACCATTCATAGTTTTATGCGCCCAAGAGTCCCATTCATAGATCTTCTCTTGGTTTTTATCCTTTGTGGGAAAGGTTACCGCAGAAGATCTGCTTTGTTCCCTGGTCATTTTAATTGGCCTGCTCTGAGTCATTTGTTTCAGTGCTACTGTTGGGAACCAGATTACATCAATGTTACACACTTCATTCAGATCAATAAGACAATGTGGTTATGTTCCAAGGGTAAATTGTAATTCTAGCCACATATTAATCACTTTTATCTATATCTATGTCTCCCTATGTACGACAGGCAGGACAAACAATCCTGAGAAGAAAACAACAGGACCAGTAGTTCTGGGGAGACATGGAACAGGAAGGGGTGGGGAGCTAACAAACTCAGGGATAAGGGAACAACAAAAGATCTAAGATGGATGTTGAAGAGGGCATATAATGCCTGGTGAGGTTTGATCAAGTGCAATGTATCCCACAAGAATTACTGAGAGCCAAATGGAGGGTGAACAAGATAGTGGGATAGGAGATAGGTGAAAGGAAAGGAGTAGGAGGCAAAATCTACAGAGGTAATGATATAGGTAGGTATATATATATATATATATGTTAATTTATAATGAAAGGGATAAAGGCCAACGTACATATATTTATATGTTAAATATTAAGGTAGACATACTTTGAGCCTCTACTCAAGGTCTCCCTTAACACAAGAACACTTTGTTCAAGTAAACTTGCTCTCTTTCATACTCACCTTACCAATACAATCACTGAAGACAAAATAGGTGCATGAGCAAATGTGAAAATGTGAAAAAAGCAGATAGTGCCTGGCTATCAAAAGATGTAGCATCTGGGGTCTTAAAGGCTTGAAGTTAAACTAGCAGCCTTCTATTTAAACAAGCAAATAAGCCCACATGGAAGAAGCATACCAGCCTGTGTGATCATGAGGCGTCGACTGGAGCAGGTATCAAAAGATCCCAAACAATTATTTCAATGTGAAAGAGAGGGGTTAGAGTGGAGACCCAAAGCCCATCTGTAGACAATTGGACATCCCCCCACCGAAGAGTTATAAGGAAGGGACGATTCAACTGGGGTGTAATACAGCACCTACGAAACACACATCATTCCTCTAGTTCCTGAATGATTCCTCCCTGCCCACTATCATGACCCAGTTCTACTTTACAAATCCAGCTAGACCAGTGTACACACATTGGTACAGATAAGAGCTCTCAGCACATGGAATTCAGAACAGATAAAACCCTCAGGAGCAGTCGTGGGAGTCGCGATAGGGAGGGTAAAGAGCAGAGAGAGAAAGAGGGAACCCCTCACAAGGTTGGATATATAACACACCCCCCCAAGGGGACAAATAGCAGGTGGGTGAAGGGAGACAATGGTCAGTGTAAGACACAACATAATATAATTGATATTTGAATATCAATTATATTAATATCAATGAATAAGGATTTATGAGGGTTGGGAAGGGAGGGGGAAAAAAACTTGAGACCAAGGGCTCAAGTAGAAAGAAACTGGAAATGCTGATGGCAACCTATTTACAAGTGCTTAATACTATTGAATGATGGATTGTTATAATACAAGTGCTTAATACTATTGAATGATGGATTGTTGTAATATTTGTAAGAGCCCCCCAATAAAATGAATTTTTTTTTAAAAAGAAACTTGGTGAAAAAAATGGAACTGAACGATAATGGTATTCTGCCAGAAACTCCTTGAAGCCCTCCTGAGTATGAGTAGTATTGGACTTCCTGAGTCATGCTGATCTTCCTTCACACACAGCAGTGGTCTTGAGGCCTGCCTAGCATGATTTTATTTCCTCTTAGGCTGGTAGGAAAGAGTTGTCCTTTACCCGCCTCAGGGTTTTCTTCTTTACCTCCATTGCTTTAAGGGAAAACGTGTGTGTGTTTTAGACATAGTAGAAAGTTAATTTCTTCAAGAAAATCTGAAAGTATTTTTCATGGAGGAGGAATATAATTAGAGACAAATTATAATTTATGATCGCTTTATAACGAGGGACTATGGGGCATTCTAGCTAAGAAGAGCCATGTTTGCTCCTAGAACTAGTGACTCGACATCAACTGAGGAGAGCAGTGACTTTGAAGACAGCTTGAAACGCAGCGCGAAGAAGCGAGCAGCGAGACGGCCACTCAAAACTGCAGTGAGTCGGTCGCTTTCCTTCCCAGCTGTCTGCAATGTGGCTGATGAAAGAAGGGGTGGAAGCAGGAAGAAGGCAAATTTTGAGGAGAAAATTGAAGAGGGTATTAAGGTATAGAGGGTAGAAAGGGGGTTAAGGTTAGAAGTGATAAAGTTCACAATTTTAAAAAACCTTATATCTGAGTCAAGCTCACCTGTGGAAGCAGTAGTCTAATCCTACCTGTGTGGTAATGATGGGACCATTAGCATTTTCTTTCTTTTCCATATTCCTGCTTTAAACTTAATAGGTAGTAAAACAACCAAGGAAGGGGTCCCAGATGGTACGTTCCCACCACCAGAAAGATTCAGAACCACCAATCAGTGATCTCTTTGATGCGGTAAGAACTGCCAAAAGTGACATGCAGGTAAGCGGAGTGTACCACCTCTCTACTGTCTAACCTTTGAAGGGTCAGAAAATATGGACAAGTATCTACACACTTGATGTAGGCATTTTAATGAACATAGTCCACAGCAGGAAAGAGTTGAGACACGTGGAGAACTTTTTTTAACAGTGAAATAAGGAAAACCTTGAATGAAAAGGATTTTCCCCCCTAAGAGTATTAACAGGACAGTTTCCACTTTTACTTATGGGGGAAGCAAGGAGAGGCATTGGGTGAGGGAGGAAGCTTGGATATGAGGTACCTTTGTCACCTTTTAGTGTCATTTTGACATTTATACCTAATTCTTTTCCTTCCTCACATTTTGTAGGTTTTTGAAATTGTTTTTTTCTAAAAGTGCATAAAGCCTATATGTACTTTTAAAAATGAAAGCATCACTCAGATCGTTACCCTAGCTCAAGAAATGAAGCATTAGCAGTGGGCTGTGTCAAGTATGAGGAGCCCTGGTGGCACACTGGGTTAAGCATTGGGCTGCTTAAACAGCCAAGTTTGTTGGCTCAAACCCACCAAGGAGCCGTTTTACTCTGTTCTATAGATTCGAGTTGCTGTAGTCAGAATCGACTTAATGGCAATGAGCTCAGTTCTTTGTGGGTTTTTTTGTTTTGTTTTGCTATCAAGTGTCGGAGCCATGGCAGCACGCTGGTTTAAGCATTTGGGGTGTTGATGGAATTGTCTGTGGTTAGAACCTACCAGCTCCTCCTTGGGAGATAAAAATGAGTCAGTCGCTGCTATAAAGATTCACATCCTTGAAAACCTCAAGGGGCAGTTCTACTTTCTTACAGTCACTGTGTTGGCATTGACTCAACAGCAGTAGCAGTAGATTTTGAGTTTTGTATCAAGTATCTTTTCCACTTTACCCATCACAGGCCCCTTATTGCCCAGAGATAATCACTAAAGTGAATATCATGTTAATCCTTCCTTTGATTTTCATTAGCGTTTTACCACCAATGAGCCTATTTTCTAATTTGTATAAATGAAACGTCCACTATGCACAGCTCTATAACTTATTTCAGTCACTCACTCATATTAACATATAATGTCGATTTTTAGAAAAGCTTGAAATTTTCAAATTTTGCTTGTTAAAACAACTTCTAACTTTATTGTATTGTAATCAGAGAACGTGGGCTTTCAAGTATGTAGAGTAGTGTTTAATTGGTTGCCAGCACTTGGACAGGTGAAGGGAATGTGTGTTCCACAATGTATTGGGTATATTGTTCCCTGGGGTAAAGTGATCGTTAGAGATCAAAAGTGTAACTTTGATATTTCTTTTAGGTTTTTGTTTATTTGATCAGATGACATCAATGTAGAGAAAGGATTGTTTTGTTACAATCCATGTAGGTGACTTAAACAAAGAGACTGTTATTTGCATACAGATTTAGAATTTTTTTTATCTTCCTGCTGTATTGAACTTTTTATTGTTGTGTTACAAGTCTATTTTCCATAGACTTTAAGACAAAAAAGTATCATTTTGATATTAATGTATCTATATTTTTAGTTAATATTAACCTGATACGTCTTTCCATCCTTTTATTTTCATTGTTCCTGTGTCTGTCTGGGCATCTGTCTCCTGCATACAGCATAAAACTGGATTATATTTTTTATTTCATTCTGCTAATTTGTCCTTTAACTAGAGAATTTATACATTTACATTAATTGTTACTAATATACTTGAATTTATCATTTTATGGGCTTTACCTGTATCTTGCCTTGGCTATTTTATTTTCCCCTTTGTTTGGCTTATTTTGGATTTGTAACTTCTACAAGACACATACCACATTTTAACCCCCAAGTGCTATTGGTTTGGACTCCAAGCTACCCTGTGTACCACAGAGTGAAGCTGTGCCTGGTCTTGTCCATCCTCATAATCACTGCTATCTCTGAGCTCAGTGTTGCAGCCCGTTTCAGTCCATCTTGTTGAGTCTTAGTCTTTTTCACTAACCCTCTACTTTACCAAGCACTGGTCCCTCTTGATCCAGTTTCCAAAGTATGTGAGATGTAGTCTCACCATCTTTGCTTTGAAGGACCACCTGGCTGTGCTGCTTCTAAAACAGATTATTCATTTTTCTAGCAGTCCACGTTCAGTATTTTTTGTCAGCACCAAAATTCAAATGTGCTGCTAACCACAAGGTCAGTGATTCAAATCCACCAGCTGATCCTCAGGAGTAAGATGAGATTTTCTGTTCCAATAGAAATGTACAGCCATGGAAACTCAGAGGACAGTTCTGTCCTGTCCTATAGGATTAATGTGAGTCAGAACCTACTACGCAGTGGCAGTGAATAACAGCCCCACACGACTCATAGCAACTCACAGGTTAGAGTAGAACTGCCCCTGTGGGTTTCCAAAGTTGTAAACTTTACAAGTGCAGAAAGCTTCATCTTTCTCCTATGGAGTGGCTGGTTGGTTTGAATGCAAACCTCATGGTTAACAAGTAAAAACATCACCCACTGCACCACCAGGGAGCCTACTGAATCAGAATCAATTCAATGTCAATGAATTGTTGCCCACCACCCACTACGGTCATAATGAGCTAATTTTCTTATTGTCCCCATCTGCCCCGTGAGCCTGATTTTCACTCTTACTTTCATGTGGATGTAACTTCTCAGGGCCAAGTTTATGTAGGAGCCTTCTATTAGACTACCCTTTTGTGGGGAACCTCTTGGGAAGACCCTATCATACACAAGGCAGTCACTGATGACCCCCTGCAGTCAGCTTGACAGTCAAGGTCTTCCAGGTTTGTGATAAAACGTCAGCTTAGAAAGTCAGCTTTAGTGCTTCTGACCTCCCAGGATTGCTGTTTGCACTTCATTTTTGACCCACGTGAAATTTTACCGTTCATTCCGTTCAACACGTGAAAATATGTCAGTATTTTAATCAGTTTAAATGCTTCAGTGAGAGAGATTGCACAGAATTTCTAGGCTATCATGTTTCTAGAATTAGAAGTCATCTACACCACCAAACCCCCCCCCCGTTTTTTTTTTTTTTTTTAGTCTTTAGTGGATGAATGGCTGGAGAGCTACAAGCAAGACCAGGAGGCAGGATTCCTGGATCTCATTAACTTTTTCATTCGATCTTGTGGCTGCAAAGGTGAGGAGATCCCTACCCTTTGCTTGATTTCCCACCTCTTCCTGTTTAGATGGATAAGGTTAGGTAATTTCCTTAGTAAAAGGAGAAAGTGAAGCAGAGGAACAGTTTTCATGATGAGCTCCATGCTTATTGAGAAATCAGGGAAGTGACCCAGTAGGAGGGACAGTGTTAGTTTACAGGCATGCCCTTTGGGAGAAAAATAACTAACCATGCTAATATACAAGCTAATGGTGTTCACACATTTAAAAACGACCATCAGACACTCCTTTAGTCTGCCTCTTGTTTCTTATTTCTCAACCACTTCATCCCATAGTTGTCTCTCAAGCTGTAGTGCCCCCAGCTCCCCAGAGCCCGTGATTTAATTTATTTTGGCCGATAGTCTCAGACAGGCTATATTAAAAGAACCTATCGTCTGGCTTAATTTTGTTGTTTTTTGTATGGTTTTGTAATCATGATTTTTCCACTGCTTGATTCCTTTTGGGTTTTCCAGAAAGGTTGCCAGATAAGGGCAGCCTATACCCAGTTAGATGATAATAGAATTACGACTAGGACTTAGGTCTTCCGAGTTTCCACCTAAGTCCTTATCTATATAGTCCATAGATCATCGTTAGATATGTGTCAATGGTTCCGTTGTTTTCCTTGTAATGACCTCATCCCCTCCTTTCTCAGGCACTGTTACCCTCAAGATGTTCAAGAAGATGTCCAACTCGGAGATCATCCGTCACCTAACAGAGCAGTTTAATGAGGTGGAGGAAGACAGCCAGCATCCCTTTGCCCCTCTTATTTCAAAACACAAGGCCTGTTATCTTCTTCCTGATTCTAGGAAATAGAAAAGCCTTTCAGAAGCCTTTTGGGGATAGAAGGACATAGAGGGATTATCTAAATTATGTCTCCAGTGTGGGGGAGAACAATAGGAACAAAGCATACCAGAGATATCTTTACTGTACTCTTTTAGTTTGGGAATCAAAGTCCCCATGGCTTCTTGGACCCAGTAATAACTTTCTTATGTTTTATAAAACCACTTACAGGACTCAGGAGACTATCCCTTGACAGCTTCAGGCTCATCCTGGAAGAAGTTCCAGGGTAGCTTCTGTGAGTTTGTGAAGACACTGGTCTATCAGTGCCAGTACAGCCTGCTCTACGAGGGCTTCCCCATGGACAACCTCATCTCTCTGCTCACTGGCCTTTCAGACTCCCAAGTCCGTGCCTTTCGTCACACTAGCACCCTGGCTGGTAAGTAAGTACTCATTCTTAATCAACGTCGTCCTGGGTTTGGTAGGACTTTCCTCCGTTCTTCAATCCTGGATCATCCTTCCTGCCTACCAGTTTATCTTACCTGCTCAAGTTCATGCCGTCTGTATCCCCAACGTCACTGTAGATTCTAACTAGTGCATCTCACTAGTAAGACTGGGCGGATCACAGTGATAGTTTCCAACCTTATTATCTTATTTCTACTCCCATAGAAATGTACAGCCATAGAAACTCAAAGGGGCAGTTCTACCTGTCCTATGGGGTTGCTGTGAGTCAGATGATAGTTTCCAGCCTTATTATCTTTCTTATAACTCACATTAGGGAATGTGCTGAGGATGAAAGAAGGCCAAAAGCGCCAAAAGAAAGAAGGGGGGTGGGGGTGGAATTCACCCCAAGACAGTTAGTCTTAAATGCTAGGATCACCATGTTCCAGATTTTCGTTTTGACTGCCCCTTTAGCTTCTGCCTCCAAACACACTTCCCTCCTCCGACCAGAGAAGTGACACACTCCTCTTGTTTCTTTGCCTCAAAGCTATGAAGTTAATGACCTCTCTGGTAAGGGTTGCCCTCCAGCTGAGTCTGCACAAAGACAACAATCAGCGCCAGTACGAGGCTGAACGGAGCAAAGGGCCAGGCCAGAGAGCTCCAGAGCGGCTGGAGAGCCTGCTGGAGAAGCGCAGAGAGGTGAGGAATGAAGCCTGCATCTTCTGCCCCCTCCCCCAGCTTCCACCCACTGCTACAGCGGGCCATCCTCTCATTCACAAGCATTTCACTCAGCCAGCCACAGGCCCCTAAGCAACCTTTGAGATAATGACGTTTAGCAATGGTTTAAGGATTCCTGTGTGGTGTGATGGTTACAAGTTGGGCTGGGATCCGTCGTGGTCGGCAGTTCAAAATCACCAGCAGCTCCTCCGGAGAAAGACAGGGCTTTCCACTCTCATGAACTGTTAACAGTCTCAGAAACCCACAGGAGTCAGCATTGACTTGACAGCAGTGAGTCTTTGAGTGAGATGGTGCTGTGGATTAAGCAATGGCCTGCTAATTGGGTTCAAACCAATAAGCCTCTCTTCAGGAGAAAAATGAGGCTGCTTACTTCTGTTAAGATTTGTACCTTCAGAAACCCTGTGGAGCAGTTCTGTCCTTTAGGTCAGCTCACTGTGAGCTGGAATTGACACCATTGCAGTAGGATTTTGTTTTGTTTTTAGTAACAGAACCCATCCTGTCCGAAATGACTGGGATGTGGACTCAATTAATTTAGTAATTACTAAATTAATTACAAGCGTAATTACAAGAGTTCTTGATAATTCCACCTTTGCTTAGTTCCTGTGTTGAGAGTCATGAGCAAGTGTGGTTTAAGATCCTTTACTAGTGCAGAGTAAAGTTTTAACTTGCTTGCCAAGTACATTGTATGCAAGTCCTCACAGGTGTACTAGGAGCCCACAGCTGGCAAGGGAGGCCAGATTTTTAAGGAGTGAGCCCAAGCCTTCCAGTCACTCTGGGTTTGAATTTGTTCTAGTAGAGACTGGCTCCATGACCTTTATGTGGCCTCTCCAAGCTTTACTTCTTTGTCTTTAGGAAGGTGGTGATTTATACCATTTTTGAAGCCTTAGTCAGATGAGAAGTAAATTACCCAGCCTGACATATTATCAGTATTTGCTGTTTCCATTTTCACTTAAAAGACCACCATTGGACCATGCACCCTACAGAATCTTTCACACTCAGTGAACTTTAAAATGGCTTGTCTCTCAGGACGCTGAAACACTTTTTTGTTGTTTTAAACGTCAGCATTTGCGACTCCTCCACCAGGAGTGTAGCAGGTCCAACCATGTCTGATTGTACCATTTGGCTATTTTCCTGTCCCTCAAAGTAGATCTCTTTATGCCAAATTGTAGAGAAGGAAATTTTCTACTTCCATTCTCTTTCGCCATTCTTCAGTGACAAATTATCTTCACACCCTCGGGTGTCATAGGTCTGTCTATCCTAGAATCTGAAAATACATACACTGGGCTGGGGAGAATGGCCGTCTCTTGGCTTTTGCTTCTTCAGTTGTTACTCATCCTTTTCATCGTAAACCTTTCTCGCCACTGGTTTCTTTGTCCACTTGTGAATGTGCATGGACCCTACAGTCTTTCCTGGTTCCCACTCCTCTGTAAGCTGTTTCTGTCCTTGTTAGGGTCATATTCCCCTACATCCTTAATTGCCCAAGTCACTGAATCCTTTTGTGGCTACCTAGCCTCAGCTCCATTTGTCCATCTGAAACTAATCTCTCCAAATCAGTGACTTCCTAATCCCTGTAGTTACGAGCTATTTCTTAGCCTCCCTTCTCCAGTGCCGCTGTAGATTTAGTTCTGATGGTCCACTTTTTCTACTCCCCTCTTCCCCTCTGTTTTTCGTCTCTTCCTTTTTCTTTAAAGTTGAAAAACTTCAGACATTCAGGAAAATTAGAGACACTGGTGCAATAAATATACTATTCACATCATCTAGATTTAGAAATTAATATTTCACCATCTTTACTTTGTCTCTTATTTTGTTACTTTAAGGACCATCTTGGAAACCCATGGGTCAGTTCTACTCTGTCCTCTCGGATATACTGGTATTTCAACCATAAAATATGTCCTCTAAACAAAATGACATATTTCTACATAACCCCAACACCATGATCACATCTAACAAAATTAATCATTTAATATTTCTTAATATTTTTTAATCCTAATTCCTATTTAAATGTCCCCATTTGTACCCCAAATGTGTTTTATATCTATTTGATTTAAATCAAGTTCTAATTAA